GTGCAGGGGTTTAGGGTTTAGGTTTGGGGTCTGTGTAGGGCTTGGGGCCTTTAGGGTTTATAGCACCCCCCGCCATGCTAGCCGATTGGCGGCAGCTCAACTCGAACCAAATCTCGTTACACTGAGCCTCAGTGACAGTTTCGGGTTTAGGGTTTAGGATTTCGAAACCAGAACTTATCCCCACACCCTCCTTTGATCCTCAAGCACTATTAGCTATAAGCCCCCACTTTCAAAGAGTTAATGCTCGTTAAGCTCTATAGCGAACCAGCCCCTAACTGAAGATCCTGAAGCCTAAACCTTAGGCTTTAGGGCTTAGGGTTTGAAGCCCTAAGCCCTAAGCAGGAGATGAGGGTGACCAGAACTCGCGCAAAGCTTCGAAGATGGTCGAGAAGGCCATACCTCTTGCAGGCATGTAAGGGTTGTTCATGACCGCTCAGAGGGCGGCGTAGGATTTTAAGAGGCTTGCCGATGGCATATTCTTGTTTTACAGCCTGATGTTGGAGACGACAGGTAGGCTTTCCACTGCCCCTATGACCTAAATGCCCTTCCCCTAAATGCCCTACCCTCGAAGAGGTCTCCAGCATGTAAGAACCCGGAGCCCCCTTCACTTAAATCTGAACCCATCTCTTCCTAAACATTGCACCCTAGTATATGGGCCTTAATACTTAGAATAGGGTTAGGGTGTATAGTATCCTATAACTATATTCAGGAACCCCCAAAACCCTATTCAGAGCCATTCCTGAGTGCACCTCTCCAGAAGCATGTTTTCAGGTCCTTTAAGCACACGACATTCCCGACAAGAAAGCCGGACAACTTCCAAATATCACAAATCCTTAAAACCCTAAACCCTAAACCCTAAACCCTAAACCCTAAACCCTAAACCCTAACCTTTCTTCCCGAAGACCCATAAACCTAGGTCCCTCTCCAACCCTCCGCCACCTCAACCCTAAGGGTTTAGGGTTTAGGGTTTAGGGTTTAGGGTTTAGGGTTTAGGGTTTAGGGTTTAGGGTTTAGGGTTTAGGGTTTAGGGTTTAGGGTTTAGGGTTTAGGGTAAACTCTTAACCCGAAGCCCCCCCACCTCCATTCCGGCAAACCAAAAGAGTCCCAGGTACTATGGGGTTACTTTCCAAAATCATGACAATAATTCCTAACCTGACATAGGAACCCTACATTCTACTATTTAGGTACTCGGAAACCCTTAAAGGAACCCTCAAACCCTAAAACTTTAAAGGATCCGTTAAAGGAACCCCTTTAGGTACTTAGGGCCTTTTGGGAAAGAGAGGTCCCTTCGAAGCGGCGGACCGTCGCCCCAGAGAAAAGCGGCCTCCGACCGCCCTCCGCAAGGCTTCGTCTCAAGGAAGACTTTAGGGTTCAGGGGTTTATGGTTTAGGGTTTAGGATTTAGTGTTTAGGATTTAGGGTTTGGGGTTTAGGATTTAGGGTTTTAGGCTTAGGGCTTCGGGTTTAGGGTTTAGGGTTTAGGGTTCAGGGTTTAGCGTGTAGCGTGTAGGGTTTTTGGGTTTAGGGTTTAGAGTTTAGGGTATAAGCCCCCGGCTGTAAAGGAGGGTTTGAGGGTTTGAGGTATTAGGCTTTGATTTTTGGGGGTCTTTGGGGGGCTAGGCATTTAAGGTTTGAGGGTTTAGGGGTTTAGAGTTTAGAGTTTAGGGTTTGAGGGTTTAGGGCTTTAGAGTTTAGGGTTTCGGGTTGCGGACATGGGTAGGCAAAGCACCCGACGGTTACAGTAGTAGTCGCAAAGAGTCAGGGTTTCAATGTTTCAGGGCCCACAGCCAAAATCCTAAACCCGCAGGCTTGAGCCTTAACCCCTATAACTCCTACATAAACAAGCATACTCTTGACTAAATAACCGTAAACCCTAAACCCTATAAGTCATACGCTTGAACCCGAAACGCTGGGGCCAAAGCTTCTGAAGGCCCAATCCTGAACCCGCAACCCTGAATGGCAAGCTCTGAGTCCGAAGGTGCAAAGGCAAGAGTCCCAAGACTCGGGTGTAGGGTGTAGGGTTCAGGGTTGAGGGTTTCAGGTTTTGGGTTTACGGTTTTTAGGGTTCAGGGTTTAGGGATTCAGGGTTTAGGGTTTCACGGTTTTCGAGGTTTCAGGGCTTTTAGGGTTTCGGGTTCAGGGATTAGGGTTTACTAAGTAGTACCCTTGTGCCCTCTCTTCAGGGTTGAGGGTCTATAGGGTTTAGCCACTAAGACCGAACACTGACAAGGGTACCCTTTGTTTGAAGGTCGTTAGTTTGGGATCTTAGTTAGAAGTAAAGACCCTAAAGAAGAGCACTGACACAACGAAGCGTGCCCTGTGACACCCTGTGCAGCCCCAATGAACCAAAAAGTTACATCGGCATAAGCCCCTGCAAGCCCTACAATGCCCTACAAACAACGGGCAAAGCCCAATAAATTCGCTATAAACCCTAAGAGCACTCTATAAAGAACCCCTCAAACCTATATACCCTAAACCCTTGCAGATCTCTAGTAACACCACTTGTGGTTTCCCTTATGATGCCCTGGACAGTTCCTGAAAAGTACCCCCTGTCAGCTTCCTGAAGCCCGGAAGGCGAGTTCCAGAAGATTCCGCCGAGAAGTTTCGCATTCATGCGGCCATCCGGCCCCTGGGGCTTGTACATTAGGGTTTAGGGGTTTAGGGTTTAGGGGTTTAGGGTTTAGGGGTTTAGGGTTTAGGGTTTAGGGTTTAGGGGTTTAGGGTTTAGGGTTTAAGCCCCAATCCGTGGCATTGCCTAACCCCCCAGTTACCTACTGTATAGGGCCCTATAGGGTCTCTAGTACCCTGTATAGTAGGTACCTGGGGGGTTAGGGATACATACATACATACATACCATACATACATACATACATACATACATACATACATACATACATACATACATACATACGTCTATACCATGTGGGTTTGTTTATATTCATCGTATAGGCATATGTTGCTGCACACATGTGTACACTTGCATGGTAATTTGTATTAAATAGGCACAGATGTAAAACGTACGTCTATGCATGCTTGCATGCATGCGCAAACATACACACTGCATACATGTTACATAGTATGCCTACACAGCCGGTTGTTCCGTTTTACGGGGATGCACGTGGTATTGGTTGTCTACTTCTGTGCGAGGTATGCATACGTGTATGTACATGTGTATGTGGGTATATGTATATGCATATAGATGTATACATATAAAACATGTACTTACATATGTATATATATATATATATGTGTGTGTGTGTGCACATACATATGTGTGTGCGTACATACTACCTTTTCTATCTATCCAACTATCTCCCTATCTAGCCAGCTAGCTATCTACCCATCTATCCGTCTGTCCGTCCGTCTGTCTGTCCGTCCGTCCGTCCGTCCGTCTGTTTGTCTGTTTGAGTTTATCCTTTCACTCATCCATCCATCCAACCATCCGTCCATCCATTCATCCATCCATCTTTCCATCTATCTACCTATATAGTACATCTATTCATCTGTGTGTTTGTAGTTGTATCTGGCATCTATATCTGCACGTATGTGCGTCTAGCTTGTTCACTATATGCAGGTACATCCAACGATTTGTTCATTATTTATGTCTAGATCTATGTCAACCTGCCAGCACAGAGTTGCTTAGACATGCATACGTGCATTCATACGCATACAGAATGCATGCGGGCATGCATGCATAAATCTGACTTAATTTCATGATCGGCACCCGTGCACGCAATGTAGAAGCCCAAATAAGTAATTACCAATATTTTTCTTAGAGTTCCTTGTTAACATATACTATAAAAGGAGCCCGAAACCCTATTCTAATTAATAAGGCCCCTACAGTACCCCATTTCGGATTAGCAGCCGCGACACAATGCAGGAGTCTAGTGCTTTGAGCATCTGGATTTTGGATTGGGGGTTGGGTTTAGGGTTTAGGGTCTAGGGTTTAGGAGGAGAAGTTAACGACGACTGCCCACGACCGATCTTTGAAGCTTTATGGAGTCGTTTCCGGAAGTTACTTCGACCCCTGGCTATGTCGTCCATCGTCGACTTCCATCTGTTCGCGCGAAGATCCCCCCCAACGCCAAGTTCAGCAACCGGCACCGATACTCTGGACGTCTCCATCTCTGTGATTGCATTACGATGGAAGCCACGTGAAGGTCTTCGGACCTGGAGCGAGAAACCTGTGAAGCCACCTCAGAATTCTCAATGCATTTCCGCTCGACTCGTCTGCTAATTTCAATAGATGCTGCTACTCATTCTGCTTCTCGCGAATCCTGGGATTCATGTTTGCTCGTTGCGCTGAGGTTTCGGCACGCTGTGCGGGGAGAGTGGGAAGCAGTGGCAGCACTACAATCTGGACCACCAGGGAGTGCCGACCATCACAACTTGGCTTTGCCAGCGCTGGCAGAGGAGATGGCTGAGATAGGGTACTTTATGGCTATTACTATCACTATGACTATGACTGGCACTAGTTCTTTTTGCTAGTACTGGGTGGGCAGAGCTTGTTCGGACCGCTCGTGTTTCGCAGGCAGTGCGACTGAAACATACGTAGAGGCTCATACCCGAACGCTTGCTAAGGGTACCTAGGGACCTAGAGTATGTTAGGATCTGTCATAGAAAAGTAGGTACCCCAAAACTGGGTATCAGCCTACAGGTCGTCTTGAGAGGATCGTGGGTTCGTGTCCAAGATGTCTAGACCTCCAAGATAAACAATGGCCCGTGAGTGTCGTGAGGCCACGTTTTTTTTCATGTCATGGCACAGAAAGTCATCGTATACTTGTGTAACATATAGTTTCATACAAAAGTATAAGTTGACGATCGATTTTGCATGGACTTTATGTACGAGAATATGCCACGTATACCCCGGGACACCTCGACCAGGAGAGGGCGCAGCGAAGCGCCCTATGGGCTGATGCCGTTGGGTCCTTTAGCGACTGGGCTGTCAGATTTCTGGGTTTGCTTGAAGGATCGTGGGACTTAGTAAGTAGGGTTATAATTGGGGTAACTATACTTATAACCCTAACTAAGGGACTTATAACCCTACTTACTAAGTCCCATGATCCTCCAAGTAGGGTTCTGGGGGGTTTAGGTGCGTTATACAAACTGCGTAGGGTTTATGGTTAGGGAGTTTCGGGGATTAGGGTTTAGGGGTTCAGGTTTATGGTTTAAGTTTAGAGGTTTCGGGTTCCGGTTCCCAAGAATTAAAAACCTTATTGCTTGATGAACCATAGGATTGACAAGGTGCTTCTGAATCAGTGAGCACATCAAGAGGACAACAGGGCTGGATCTTGGTATTGATTGTTTACCGTTTAACGTTTAAAGTAATCAGAAGCCGTGCCCAGCAAGCTGCTTCCGGGTCCGGGCCCTCAACCCTCAACCCTGAAGCCCAAGTGGCAGTCTGGGCACATTCTTGGGATTCTAGGCTGAGTACATCAAGCAGACCCGGGTCTGAACCATAATTCATTGCAGTATCCATAGTTCCTAGGTAGCATTCGGGAGACCCCTGAAAGGGGACCCTTGTTAACCCTACTTATGGCTCTCTTAAAAGGGACCTTATGGAGAGGGTCTATATCCCCAAAGGGTCCCCCTAATCTTAACTCCTCATAGTCAACTCTTGATTGTGTTCGGGGGCTTACGGCGGTGAGGAGGAATCCGTTAACCCTAAACCCTAAACCCTAAGACCCCTACTTAGGCAAGCGGCAACGCCGGGGCAACTGGAATGACAACCACCGCGACACAATCACGAATTGGTCGCAGCTGGTGCCACGGGATGAGGACTCTGGAGCTTAACGGTTTAGGGTTTAGGGTTTAGGTTTTAGGGTTTAGGGTTTAGGTTTTAGGGTTTAGGGTTTAGGGTTTAGGGAGCTTAAGCAACCCTAAGGGTCCATGACGGTCCATGTGCCAAAATAGTGTATACTTTGGCCTTAATCTACTCCCTATATAGGTACTTTGGGGACAATGTATATACAATTTAGGTACATGGACCCTTGGGGCTAACTGCCCAGGTACCTACTATATAGGGTACTAGAGTCCCTAGGGCCCTATATAGTAGGTACCTGGGGGGTTAGGGTTAAGCAAGAGAGTCCAGTACCCTCGAATTACGCAGTGTTGTTGAAAGGATCCCTCGGCACTGACTCGAGAATAGTTCTTAATCAGTATTGTCTTCCGTTTGCACGGTTCTGTGTGTATGGATGCATGTGTGTATGGAAGGTCAAGCACACCAGCAGGCAACGACGAGGGGCTATGTGCTTGTTGTGTTTCACGTGGGTTTTGCCGACGGTGATGATGATGATGATGATGGTGATGGTGATGGTGATGGTGATGGTGATGATGGTGATGACGATGACGATGACGATGACGAGGACGATGACGATGACGATGACGATGACGATGACGATGACGATGATGATGATGATGATGGTGATGATGAAGATGAAGATGGTGATGATGAAGATGGTGATGATGATGATGATGAAGATGGTGATGATGATGGTGATGGTGATGATGATGGTGATGATGGTGATGGTGATGGTGATGATGATGATGCTGCTGCTGATGATGATGATGATGATGATGATGATGCCGCCGCAGCTTCCACCATGATTTACATTCATGCACCACTTCACCTAAACAACCTGAGCCCAACCCCCAACAGCCTTCAATAACTTTGAATCCCGGTAGTTCAACAGTTGTTTGGATCCTCCGCGTGCTTGCTTGCTGTTTGGCCTATGTATTTCGAAGGGTTGTCAAGACAATTGGCTATGTTACTCCATCAAAAATATATACGTATAGATGTATACACTTACATGCATGTGTATGTATATAATAACATGTACAGGCATATTTTTTCCCAGCTAGGCAGCCAGCTGCCTAGCTGGCTCTCCTTGATCTGCTGCCCCATGTACTTGACGACATGAATACCTACATGACCAACTTACCTACATGCCTACATCCGTCCGTCCATCCATCCACCCATCCTTCCACCGACATTAGGTTCTCGTGTTTGCTCGCAGGTTCAGGCGCTTAAAGCAGGGTATGCTCTCAAAGTCGCAAAATCCGACCCCGCCCTCAAGACAACAGAAAAGTATGTATATCCCCGAAAGAATTCTATCTGCACATATGTACATCTTTACATTGATATTTAGATGTAGGTACAGATATATATACGGATACATCAACAAATTTTGCTATGCGCGTATGCATGTGTATCTGTCGGCCTATCTATCTACCTGTCTACATATCTACCTATCTACCTATCTACCTATCTACCCATCTATCTACCTACCTATCTATCTATCTAGCTATCTGTCTATCTGTCTATCTGTCTATCTATCTATCTATCTATCTATATAGGTTTGTACACATCCATGCATGCATGCATGCATGCATGCATGCATGCATGCATGCATGCATGCATGCATACATACATACATACATATACATACACATAAACGTATGTACGTACGAGAAAGTAGAGGACAAGGCCAAGAAGTCGGAGCGCGGCCTCCTGCGCACCCCGCAGACGCGGTCGCTACCCGAGCTACGCAGGAACTCCAGGCGCTGCCGCGGTGTTGGAGCTTAATCATAATTTGCATGTATGTTATGTACGGTAATATGCAACGTTTACTCCATAGTTCCCCAATACCCAACCTTTTAAGCTTTTTGGGTTCCTATAATTTAGTAGTAATCAGAAAGTTTAACCTTTTATTTCCCTGGCTTAGTGGAGAAGTAAGATAAAGGCTTTACCTCAATCTACCATAGCGTAGGTTTGGTAGGCAAAGATAGGAATAAGGGCTTTAGGGTTTAAAAGCTATATAGGGCAACAGCTTAGGGCCTTTGGGCATTTAGGAACTTGTTTTAAGGCTTGTCGGATTTCTTTTGATTTTATTAGGGTTGCATCGGTTTTGTGATTTCGAGGTCTTGACAGACAACGACAGAAAAGTGTAGTACCTCGCAAGTAGGGAGTATACCTTAACTCATAGTGTCGAAACCCTTGAACTTTGAGGCATGTGCCTTGCGCAGTTAAGTGATCAGTTTTGGTTCTGGTCAGTTTTGGGTCTTGGGTCATGGACAATCAAAAATGCTGGTTGCTGCGGGGATTCGGTTTGGGGTCTCAGTCTTGTCTGAGTCTCCTTTTGTTTGGGTGGCGGGGGGTGGCCGAGGGAGGGATCCTGCAGCTGCTGGGCCCGACTTGGTTCTACTTGGGGGATTGCAACTTTCAGTCGAAGAGGGCCCCTTTGATGCTTATGATCTGGTAGTATCAGTTGCGGCTGCTGTGATGACTGTTGCACCCCGGAGCTTCTGCCAGCTGAGTTTTTCCCCTTTGGTCGCGAGTTTCTAAAAGTTCAGGCGACGCGAGGACCTGGATTTTAGATATCGGTGGTCCTGACGGGATAAGGAGCAAGCCAAAGCACGCTGATCGTAGAGTTAGAGCACTCCGGAATATAGAAAACCCAGAGTTTGTATTCCAGATAGTTTAGTGTGTTCAGCACAGAGACTGTAAGACTACGCAGTTTTTGTGCCGTATTGGAAACGCCTTTATTTGGGCAGGAGTAGTGGAGATCAACAGCACGTGGTCTAGAGTCTAGGCTGAATCCTCAGCCACTGTTTGCAGTACATCTCCTAAACCTTAAACCCCAAACCCTAAACCCTAAACCTTTACATCTCCTAAACCCAAAACCCTAAAATCTTTTAAGCCCTAGAACCTCAAGCCAGGAGCTCGCTTGGCGCGGATTCGATGTGTCTCGGCCTTTCCGGAAATTATTTCTCCCCTTTCCTTGTAAGACGTAAGAAAGAAGACAACAGTTGAACAAATGGTTATGTGTGTAAAGTAGCATGTATTCCTAACAAGGAACAGCACTGAATATTTTTTATTTGTAATAGAGCCTCAAGGAGCTTCCAAGGTACAACTCGGCCCAGATGAGCTTCGATGACATCCGTGCCGCCACTGCCGCCATGATCTCTGCTGCTCCCTCGAAGGTTCAGATTTCTTGGAATTTGGGGGCTTTGGATTCGGGGCTAGGGGCTACTATATACGGGTTCTCTCGAGCATTCCGTATAGTGGTGTTTCCGTTCAGTTTTTCGGATGTTTTGGGCTCAGGTTTTAAGAGTTTGGGGTTTTCAGGGCTTGAGGGGCAATTTGGGCTTGTAGTTTGAGAGTTGGCATTTGAGTTTCGGTGATATTAAGTTTAGGATGTAGGGATTTAGAGCTTCAGGAATTCCTAAACCCGAATACACACGGGGTATCATGGGTTTCTATTGCACATGCATGCTGCTGCCAGTCTTTGAACTACTTCCTTATCCCTTATTCGGTGATGATTGCGGACACTATGCGTTATGGCACCTCATGCCGGCAATCTCGCATGACTCCTTTGGGTGTTTCGAACCTGTATGCATGTATGCAGGATGTGATGTAGAGCAAATGACGTAGACAAAAGGCCGAGAAGTGCATGCGAGGCCTTGGAAGTGGGTCGAGAGCCAGGGGTGTGGATGTGTTTGGAGACCCCCGAGCCCTAAACCCTAAACCCTAAACCCTAAACCCCAACCAAGGATACCACGAAAGAGGGCAGGTCCTCAATGGATCGACTGAAGGCGGAGGGGTGGGGGGGAGTCGCGTTCAGGGAAAGTCTCTCTTCATCTTCGGCGGTTTAGGGTTTAGGGTTTAGGGTTTAGGTTGAGCTTGTCTGGTGCATTTCGGCCGAATGCACCTGGGAGGATAACCTCCCACCGTTCCGGGCAGAAGTAATGCAGACTGCTAGACCCCTCATATCTGTCAACCGTAATTCAGCGCAGGTTGTGCTCTGGAGGTGTTTTGTGTATTTAGGTCCCGGAAGCCCCAAGGCATCGCCAAATCCTAAACCCAGAACATCTCACTAATATAGGTGCCTAAATAATTTCCTATACTATTTTGGGGGGTTCCTCCTTATAATTATAGTATAATGGACCCCNNCCCCAAAACCTTATTCTAATTCTTACCTACATTACAGCCTCCAACTTAGGGTTTGTAGGGACCGGCCCAGCAGCTGTCACTTTTACCTAAACTGTCGAATCCACTTCCTGTACAGGTTTTGTGGGTTTCAGGTGTACCGCTTCTAGGGATATCCCTTCGCGTCTTGGCTTTGGGCTGAACGGCAGGCCACAAGGAAAATCTCTTCGCAGTGCTTGTTTTTGTTGCTCCTCAGGTTGGTCAGCACCGGCAGGGTCCATTGGCCATGCATCGCTTTCGCAGTGCCGCGACGGTGAAGACGATTCCCGAGTCGGAGGACCCTTTTTTTAAAGCTTGGCCTTCAGGCTTAAAGGTTCTACGGCTGAGGGTTGAGGGGCTTGGGCTGAGAGTTCAGGGGCTGCAGGATTCAGGGCAATGAATCACGTAGGTGTTGGGTGGTTTAGCTTGTCTGGCTGGGAGGGTACTGCAGTTCGCATGGACTTGGCGAATGTTAGCACGAGTACTCGTGTTGAATGCAATGTTCTGCTTGCAGGTAGGCCGGTAAGTACTTCACTAAGACGTCCTCGTTGCGCCACCGGGTGCAGCAGGTGCTGCTCATGCTGCAGGAGCAGCTACAGTTCTGAACCCTGGACCCTAAACCCTAAACCCCATGCCCAGTCAGGAAGGAGTCGTGATGGCGCGTGCCTCTAGCACCCTGCATCCGAACTTGAATCCTCTGCCCTTCCTTACTAATGATATTCCCTTACTTACAGGCCCCTTAGTGGTTGTACTATAATGTAAAAATAGTAAGGCGCTTAATGGTTATAATATGATATAAGATAAGATTGTATTATATTATATTATATATATTATATTATGTTATGTTATATTATATTATATTATGATATATTATATTATATTATATTATATTATATTATATTATGTTATGTTATATTATATTATATTATATTATATTATATATCAT